TGTTACTTGAAATTAAATCTTGAGATATTGCTTGAGCACCAAAATCTTGCTCACTTTGTTCAGTAACCAAACCTTCAAGCTCCTTTCTAATACTATATAATTGCCTTTTCAAATCTTCCACCACTGCTGCAGCATTGCCATGACTTACTGCTTGGTCATGCACTTCATTAAGAGATTTTCGAAGATTCCAAGAAGCAAGTGCAGAAACCACTAATTCTTTTGATGAGCTTATCAATTGAGCTTGTTTACTACTATATCTATATGCCAAGGTCCATCTAGCCAAAATGTATTGTTCAGGAATCTCTTCCATTCGATAACATTGCATCATTATGTGAAGAATATGTTTACACAAAATACCACTAGTCTCAAACTTCCCACAAGTACAAGCAAACTCTTCCTTGGACGGACCACATCGCACGGAGTGTGAATCAACCTTGCCCCCAAACCCATAACTAACATCATATGTGGTCATCCCATCATTAGTAGCTACTTCATTATGCACACAATATAAAGAATCTTTGAACTCACTCTGAAATTTAGCAAATATCTTTATAGTGTAAACCATTCTAGCTCGAACTTCTAACTTATGCAAGTGACACGGATTTGGCTTTGCTCTCATTGTCCACATGTCTTCATTCACTTCCTCATCACGACGACATTGTAGAGCTTTAGCATATTGGCCAACAAACTCGGATAATGGTGTCATAGAGTTCACATAACCATCAAAAAATGAATTAATGCTCTCACTTCGTTGACTTGATCTCATTCCAGCAAAAAATGTGTCCCTCAAATACACATCAATCCAACTATATCGTTGCTCATACATGCTTTCTAACCATTTCCAAGACTTTTTTTCACTGCGTTGCTTCTCTATCAATGGCTCCATAAACTCTTGTTTATATTTCTCCTTCAACTTTTTCCATGCATTCTCGGCTTCTTCAATAGTTTTACTTTTCTCACCCACTTATAATATTGTTCATCAAATCCAGGATTATATGATGATCTTAAAGCCCGAAGATGCTCATCCTCATGGAGTGAGATGTGCCAACTACAAAACCTATGACGTGTGTTCGGAAAAACCCTTTTAATTGCATTAGTGATTGTTGGGTCCTGGTCAGTGATAATTGCACCAGGTGCTTTACCCCCCATGCACCGCAGCCACTGCTCAAATAACCACATAAAGCTATCTTCCTGTTCATCCGATAGGAGGGCGCATCCAAACAAGGTTGACTACCCATGATGGTTCACACCAGTAAATGGAGCAAATGGTAAAAGAAATGTATTAGTCTGGTATGTCACATCAAAAACCACAACATCACCAAAATTTTGATACATTTCCCTAGCTCTCCCATCTGCCCAAACAAGCTCCTACAAACACCATTTTCATCAATCTCTATGGCATGGTAAAAATTTTCATCTGAAGCAGTCATGAATAGGAATTGTTGCATAACCGTTGATGAGCTAAATTTATATATATATTAATAGGGAATTTTTACTTTGATATTATTGATATTTGGATGAGTTTTATGGGATTTTGTTTGATTTTACATGATTTTCATTCTTTGTGTAGGAAATGATTTAATTGGAAGAAATCTTACTTTTTAGAAGTAAATTGAAGAGATCAGAGACTTGAGGATCAACTTGTGCAGAATCCAGAAGTCAGGAACCAGATCTGCCATTTTACCATTGAAGAAATTGCAAAAGGAGGCCAAAAACCCGACACGGGTGTAGTGTCGACACATTATCTGGGTGTCGACACCATGCGCTAAACGTCCAGAATCAGATTCTGTTTCCTATTTTGTGTCAACACGTAATCCGAAGTGTCAGCACCACGCGATCAGCATTTAAAATTCAGTTTCCTATTTCTATTCCAAGTCTTACTTCTATTTCAATTAGGGTTTCTAAAATCCTATAAATACCCATCTAAATTCAGAATGAGGAGCTTTGTGGAGGCTGATGGCAGCCCTCTTTTGGGTACTATTGGAGATCAAGATAAAATATCCATCAACGAAAAGATCAAAGATTTCAATTACCTCAAATTAGGTTTTATTTTTCCTTAGACATTCTTATGCTCATAATTGTGATTTCAGATTTCATTATTTTTATTATGAACTGATTTATTTTATTAAGGCTATGATGTAACCTAATCAATTCAATATAGATTTTATGATTTTATATTTTCAATTAAAGTTATTCGCATGAGGAGTTTATATTATTGAACTTAATGCATTAGAAGCCTGATCATCTTTCAATTGATTTAGTGATTTATGCATGAACTTGAGAAAGAATTGCATAGATTAGACCAATAATAATATAAATCGTGTGCTAGACTATGAGACCGAGAGATAATTAGCTCATATGTGGTACTGGAGGAAAAAAAGAGAGTTAGTAGCTCCCCCTTCTTAAGCTAGAGGTTTTCATAGAATCTAGGGCTCATTAGTTTGTTTAAAATTACATAGCGATATGATTAATTTAATAAACCAGTGAAGGATTAACTTGACTTGAGAAAGCTAGTTAATTAATTTAGGAAAATCCGCCATCACATGCAATAACACTTAACAATTTAGTAATCCAAAATTTATATTGATTGATTATGGTGAAGTCAATGCCTTAGTACCTCCTATCTTGATTAGATTTATTTGTTATTTTCTTTTTATTGTTCTCAATTAAAGTTTCTTTCTCTTTGATTGTTCAAATAAATTTGGATTAATTATTTTGGTACTTAGTTAGACACAATCCTCGTGGGTTCAACACTCTTCTCATCATTATATTACTTGGAGCGACTAGTACACTTGCTAGGGTGATTTTAGTGCATCAACCATTATACACTCGCGACCAATGTTGCTCTCCCTTTTTTTCCTCAAATGTTGTTGACATTGTTGTGGGGTAATATTCGATGTACCATTGCCTGTCACATTCAAAAGTCTTGCAATTCTAGAAGGTCCACAGCCAGCTTG